CAATTACAAAGAAACCAAATCCCACTACAGGGCATGGAACTGTATTGGAGGGATGGCTCAATGGGCCATGCAAAATTCACAGTACATCGGATACCATGCCAACACACAACCTTAGAGCATGTTGGATACTCCGGCAGGTGGCCAAGAGCAACGAGGATATCCTCACCAACAATACAACAGAGCACCATCCTGTGGAAAATAACAATACATTATTGACAGTCTTCGAGACCTTCGCCTCAAATAATAGGCGCAAGCGAACACTCCGCGGCCTTGCCGAAGTCTGCCACATTGCAACAATAAATCCATGGAACGACACGGCCATAACCTTCAATGCCAGTGACGAACCTCAATTCCGAACAGCCCGAGCACCAGCCGCTTTGGTCCTTAGTCCAATTGTGGACGGCTTACGGCTTACTAAAGTGCTCATGGACGGTGGCAGCGGATTAAACCTCATCTACGAGGAAACTCTTAGCAAGATGGAAATAGACAAGAGCCGCATCGAGCAAAGAAGCACGACCTTCAGAGGAATCATCCCTAGTCGGGAGGCACGATGTGCGGGAAAAATCACACTAGATGTTGTATTCGGCACGCCGGAGAACTATAGGTCCGAAGAAGTCAGATTCCAAGTGGCCCCGTTTAGTAGCGGATACCACACCCTTTTAGGGCGGGAGGCATTCATGATCTTCCAAGCTATACCCCATTACGGGTACATGAAGCTCAAAATGCCCGGGCCTAATCGAATAATCACTCTGGCTAGTGATCCGGACATAGCACTCCGCGCCGAAAATAAAACCGTCGCACTAGCCCTTGAGGCGTTATCCGAAGCCCTGGCTGCTGAAGAACTAACTGTGCTGCGCTCCACAGCGGACAGGGATGACGTGGTACTTGACAAAAGACCCAAGTCCACCTCTTTTAAACCAGCGGAGGAAATAGTCAAATTCCAGGTCCACCCGACGGAGCCTACAAAAACAGCATCCATCGGGGCATAGCTGAACCCCACAACAGATGCCATACTGCGGGAGTTCTTGCGTGATAATTGGGAGATCTTCGCCTGGCATCCTTCAGACATGCCAGGAATCCCACGCAGGCTGGCCGAGCATAGCCTTAACATTCTAAAAGGGTTCAAGCCGGTCAAGCAGACTCTTCGGTGTTTCTCTGAGCCCTAGCGGCAAGCCATGGGAGAAGAGCTAGCCAAGTTACTCGAGGCCGGATTCATTAGAGAAATAAAACATCCAGGCTGGCTAGCAAACCTGGTGATGGTACCAAAGAAGGACAAATCTGGCGCCTATGTGTCGATTTCAAGGACCTTAACAAGGCTTGCCCCAAGGATCCCTTCCTAGTCCCCCGCATCGATCAAATTATCGACGCTACCGCAGGACACGACTCATTGTGCTTCATCGACGCATAGTCCGGATCCATCAAATTGAGATGGCGGAGCCCGATCAAGCCGCAACGGCATTCATCACTCCATACGGCCCCTTCTGTTTGAACACCATGCCTTTCGGACTCAAAAACGCCGGTGCAACCTATCAACGCATGATTTAGACATGCCTGGAAACACAAATCGGCAAAACAGTGGAGGCATACTGATAAGCACATTTCATATACATCTTTTGGCACTCAAATATGCGGTTTATTGAGATATGACCATCAATTCTTGCTGTGAAATATTGAATATTTGCATGAAAATCATATAAAGGATCATTTACTTGTCTTTGGTCTATTTTGCAGAAGTGTGCGCAAAGGCACTATAAATCTTCAAGTTCCTGTCCATGTGGCAACCGAGATGAGCATATGAAAGAAGAGAAGGAAGAGGGACTTAAGCGTGATAAATATTAAAGCTTCAAGGGCAAGAAAGAAAGAGTGGAGGGATCAACTTGTGAAGTAGGCAGAGAAGTAGAAGGGCCGAAGTGCAAAAGTGCAGATCTGAGGAGAGGGTCAAAATCCCTAGCAGCAGCCCCGATCCCCTTTCAGGCCTGGCATCTCCATTCCCCTTGCCCCACCTTCACCATCGGCCGTCGCCGCGGCCAGGCCGGCGCGGCGGTGCGCCACCCAGCGCCACCCAGCCACCCATCCTCGCCATCTCCATCACCCGCCGCTGCACCATCCACTATCATCCATCCACATCGCCGCCACCAGCGCTGCATCACCATCACCATCTCCAGCGCCACCCACCAGCGCCGCCACTCGCGCGACCCGCCAGACGGGCGTTTGGTTCCCCGCGCGACCAGCACCTCATCTCCCTTGCTTCTCCATCTCCCTGCTCCTGCTCTTCTTCTTCTTCCCCTTGCTGCTGCTGCATCCTCTCCGTTGCATCTCCCTTAGCACTGCTGCTGCTTCTCTCTTCTGCGTCCCCTGCTGCTCCTAACTTTCTCAATCTCTACCGCTTCTTCTCCGGGACCCCTTGCTGCTGCTTCTCTCTGAACCGAGTTGCTGCTCCTCCCTCTTGCTTCGTCCTGCTGCTTCTTTTCTTCCCCTCGCCTTCCTCAACTGCTGCTGCTCCTTCTTCCTATGCACCCCTGCTGCTCCTCTCTCTCGCAACTCCTGCTGCTGCTCTTCTTCCTCTTCTCCTCACCTTGCTGCTGCTCTGAACCTTAACTTGTTGCTGCCACTTCTTCTTCTCTGAACCCAACGCTGCTAGCTGCTCCTCCTAGTGCCGCTTCTCTTCTACCCAACAAAACTGCTGCTGGTCTCTTTATTTCTCTTCATCCCTCTCTTTCTATGCGTGTGTGTAATTTCTGTGAGTTATTAGTGGATGCTAGATCAACTATATTCTATTCCGAATTAGTATTATTTGTGTATGTGTGTCAGTTAGTTTACTTTAATAATTCCGATCACCTGTGATCTTTGTGTTGAATGTGCTTTCAGTGTTCTTGAGAAGTGTAAAACTGTTCAACATTCAGTTACAATTTCTGAAACTTCTGTGATTCAGTGGTGTCTCTATGTCATATATTTAGAATGTGTACTGCATGTTGTAGAAAATTTCAGTTTGTAAGTTCCTGTGATAGCTCCAGTACATGTGACTTTTATGTTGTCTCAAGTACCTGTGATATATATACATATGTGTGTTTCTGTCATGTGATACATTCATGTTCTGTCCTACAACCTTGTTTCTTCCCCTGTTAATTGTTATATATATATATATATATATATATATATATATATATATATATATATATTCATGTCTTTTTAATTCCCTAGCATTTTGACGTTTGCTTGTGTTAGCATTTTATTTCTCAAGTTTAATGAAAACCTCCCCTTGCTTGTTTTGTATTTTCTTTGGCGACGATCTTTGGGAAGAACTTTGTATAGTTTAGGTTTATATTTTCTGCATCCGTCTCTTAAAATTGTGTTACCTAGATTTAGCCGAGCATAGTCGTCGTTGCCTAGTCCCTGTGGGGAACATGACACTCGCAGTTTGGGGCGTAAAACCCCCGCTGTACTACAATTGATCATTTTGGCGCCGTTGCCGGGGACTAGCGTCGAGCGATTTTGTTAGGCTATAGACTAGGTTTTTCTTGTTTTTCCCTTTGTGCTATATATATGTGATATATATCTAACCCCTAACCCTTGTTCAAGTTATTTTCTCTTTCGTTGCTTGGTCATTCTGTAGGTTATTGCATCTTCTCGGTTATGGCTTACTGTTCAGATCATCATGCTTATGCGAGCAACACTACAAACAGCACGGAAAGTATTCAAGACATGATAAGTAAGATTTCCCATCGATTAGATGATTTAGCTCGGCAGCGAGAAGTAATTTTTGAGGATAGGCCTAGCTCTTATGATCCTTATTCTAGGGGCCATCCTTATGTTGCTCCTACCTGCCATATTTGTGGATTTCAGGGCCATTCACCCGCTGAATGTCAGCGTGGTTACTCTCACCCTCCTGATTGTTATGGCATGAGCTTCGCCCCACAGCCTAGCTCATACCAAAACAATTACTCATATGGGTGGCCTTAAAACCAGAATATGTCATATAGGAGCAACAACCTTGAGATCTCACCGTTTGCTTCTAGTAATCATATGCAGGGATTTAGGTATGAAGAGGAGAGCAACAACTATGCACCACAACAATTTTATTCACCTCCTACTCATATACTTCAACACCAGGAGATGTGTCCAATGGAGTTAAATGGTCCTCCACTTGGTCAACCAACAACTCCAACACCTATTGAGCAATCTCATGCACAAGTGCCCACACAAGATGACTTTGATGATATAGACAAGCTCACATTGCTTAGTCTCGAGTTCACTTGAAGTGCTGAAGATGATCCAATTAGGCCGGTGATACTAGAGGAAATGAAGAAGATCAAGAGTGGAAAAGAGCTAGTGGAAGAAGTAAGGAAAATTGAGAAGAATATCAATGCCGGGTGCACTATCTCATCCCTCCTTGAGCTGAGTGTTGCTGGGATATCCCTTGAGGTGTGTGAGGTTTCAACACTGTCACATTCAGCTGAGCAAGGTAGCGAGAGTCCAGAGGAAGAGACACTTCAGATCCAAGAAGAAATACGTGAAGACAAGGAACAAGATGATCCAGAGCTGCAATTCCCAAGTGATCAAGATGAAGACAAAAGATCTACTACTCTTGAAGAAGTAAAAGAAGCTTCTGTAGATGAACTTGAAGAACCAGAAATTCATTTGCCTATTGTCATACAAGAGCGTGATGAGTCAGGTTTATCTTATCCTCTTAATGACATGTCTCCATATGATTTGTTTGCTACTCCCATGCATTGCATGATGCCATCACTTAAGGTAGATTTGAAAAACTATTTGCTTGGACATGATCATACACACCTTGTTAGTGGCACTGCTCATATCTTTGTTCATGATACTTATGTTCCTGATGCTATACCCATGCTTAATGAAACGTGTGATTCTAATACTAGCATTGAGCTTACTGATTTCTACCATCCTAAACATGTGCTTTATAGCTATGCTTATGTAATTGGATACTCGATTGATGACTTGGAGGGTATTATCCCTACCGCTTGCATTGTCTCTTTTGTGGAGTGTTCTTTCAGGTTTTTGATACTGCACCGTTTACTACATGCTGTCCAGGTTCGAGGTGACATCCCTTGGGACCCCGGTGGATTCAAGGCATGGTGACGAGGAGAAGAAAGGAGCACACATAGGGAAGAGAGAAGCTGGAGCATTCTTGTGGAAGCAAAAGGAGAAGAGCTGTAGTTTAGAGAGTGTCGAGCGAGTGCTACAGCAAAGCTCGGTGAGCTGTTTCATGACCCCAATCTTAATATATCATCCATTGATACATGCTGAAATTAAATTGCTATTTGGGTTGCTTGTGCCATTTCTTAAATGTTGTCCCACAGATATTCACCTTTGGCATCGTGCTTGATGTGAATTTTTGAACTTGATTTCTGAATGCCTTGTAAACTAGTGATCTACACCATGCGTGCTTGGCTGAAATTAGTGAGAACTATTAGTTTTGAGTGCTCAAATCCCTAGTACACTAGAAAACTTCATCATTTTCTGCATTTACTATGATACACCTAGATCACCATGTTTAGATGCTGAATTTGTGCGAAGTGTGTTCCCATTGAGAGCAATCACCTAACCACTATGGATTAGCATGCTATGTTCCCTGGATCGATAGCATGTGAACCAGACATGGAGAAGTGAGGATTCCTTTTTTTGTCATTATGTGTTGTTCATTAAAAAATATATATATATTATAATGAATAATTATTTGATCTTACCTAACAGTAGCATGTCATGTTCCCTGGATCGGTGGCTTGTGAAATCTGGTTGGATCAGATAGGAGTTAATTATATTAAAAAAATTAATTGTCGAACCAGGTGTATACCATGTTCTCGGGACCGGTGGTATGTTCCTTTGGGGAGACAAACATAAAAACAAAAAAATTGGTCGAGCCAGGTGTATACCATGTTCTCGGGATCGGTGGTATGTTCCTTTGGTGAGACCGGTAAAATATTATCATTACTTCCTTCAAATTCAATAGGTGCTTCAACCATAATGTTATGTTTCGGGTAATAAGTTTTTTTTGGGATCATGCTCTCTTTAGGAACCCTTTGGCGCAATCAGCATTTGAACTTGTTGATCCACTTTTATCTTTGTAAAAGTTTAAAATGATTGAGTTTACTAGTGTCCTATTGCTCTGTAGCACTCTTAACCATTGATTTTCACTAGCTAAGTCGAAAGCATGCATTGTTTAGAGATCTACTTCACTTGGACATTCTCTAGCCAGCTCACTATTCACTATCCTGCTCTTGTCATATTCCTTTGCTTGAGGACAAGCAAAGATTTAAGTGTGGGGGAACTTGATAAGCACATTTCATATACATCTTTTGGCACTCAAATATGCGGTTTATTGAGATATGACCATCAATTCTTGTTGTGAAATATTGAATATTTGCATGAAAATCATATAAAGGATCATTTACTAGTCTTTGCTCTATTTTGCAGAAGTGTGCGCAAAGGCACTATAAATCTTCAAGTTCCTGTCCATGTGGCAACCGAGATGAGCATATGAAAGAAGAGAAGGAAGAGGGACTTGCGTGTGATGAATATCAAAGCTTCAAGGGCTAGAAAGAAAGAGTGGAGGGATCAACTTGTGAAGTAGGCAGAGAAGTAGAAGGGCCGAAGTGCAAAAGTGCAGATCTAAGGAGAGGGTCAAAATCCCTAGCAGCAGCCATGATCCCCTTTCAGGCCTGGCATCTCCATTCCCCTTACCCCACCTTCTCCACCACCGGTCGCCGCCGCGGCCAGGCCGGCGCGGCGGTGCGCCAACCAGCGCCACCCATCCTCGCCATCTCCATCACCCGCCGCTGCACCATCCACCATCATCCATCCACATCGCCGCCACCAGTGCTGCATCACCATCACCATCTCCAGCGCCACCCACCAGCGCCGCCACTCGCGCGACCCGCCAGACGGGCGTCTGGTTCCCCGTGCGACCATCACCTCATCTCCCTTGCTTCACCATCTCCTGCTGCTGCTCTTCTTCTTCTTCCCCTTGCTGTTGTTGCCTCCTGTCCGTTGCATCTCCCTTAGCGCTGCTGCTGCTTCTCTCTTCTGCGTCCCCTGCTGCTCCTAACTTTCTCAATCTCTGCCGCTTCTTCTCCGGGACCCCTTGATGCTGCTTCTCTCTGAACCGAGTTGCTGCTCCTCCTTCTTGCTTCGTCCTGCTGCTTATTTTCTTTCCCTCGCCTTCCTCAACTGCTGCTGTTCCTTCTTCCTATGCACCCCTACTGCCCCTCTCTCTCGCAACTCCTGCTGCTGCTCTTCTTCCTCTTCTCCTCACCTTGCTGCTGCTCTGAATCTTAACTTGTTGCCACTTCTTCTTCTCTGAACCCAACGCTGCTAGCTGCTCCTCCTAGTGTCGCTTCTCTTCTGCCCAACAAAACTGCTGTTGCTCTCTTTATTTCTCTTCATCCCTCTCTTTCTATGCGTGTGTGTGTACTTTCTGTGAGTTATTAGTGGATGCTAGATCAACTATATTATATTCCGAATTAGTATTATTTGTGTCTGCATGTCAGTTAGTTTACTTTAATAATTCAGATCACCTGTGATCTTTGTATTGAATGTGCTTTCAGTGTTCTTGAGAAGTGTAAAACTGTTCAACATTCAGTTACAATTTCTGAAACTTCTATGATTCAGTGGTGTCTCTATGTCATATATTTAGCATGTGTACTGCCTGTTGTAGAAAATTTCAGTTTGTAAGTTCCTGTGATAGCTCCAGTCATTGTTCAAGATATCTTCCGGTATTCCGATAAATTGACTGATGATAAACTGGCCGATTTAGCGACATTCCCAACATTGGCTCCAGTACATGTGACTTTTATGTTGTCTCAAGTACCTGTGATATATATACATATGTGTGTGTCTTTCATGTGATACATTCATGTTCTGTCCTACAACCTTGTTTCTTCCCCTGTTAATTGTTATATATATATATATATATATATATATATATATATATATATATATATATATATATATATATGTCTTTTTAATTCCCTAGCATTTTGATGTTTGCTTGTGTTAGCATTTTATTTCTCAAGTTTAATGAAAACCTCCCCTTGCTTGTTTTGTATTTTCTTTGGCGACGATCTTCGGGAAGAACTTTGTATAGTTTAGGTTTATATTTTCTGCATCCGTCTCTTAAAATTGTGTTACCTAGATTTAGCCGAGGATAGTTGTCGTTGCCTAGTCCCTGTGGGGAACATGACACTCGTAGTTTGGGGCGTAAAACCCCCGCTGTACTACAATTGATCACATACATAGACGATGTGGTCATTAAAACAAGACACGTCGAATCCTTAATAAATGACTTGAGGCTCACGTCCGACAACCTCCGAACATATGACATCAAGCTCAATCCGGAAAAATGCGTTTTTGGCGTGCCCACCGGAAAGCTCTTGGGCTTCATCGTTTCCAATAGAGGAAGTGAAGCAAATCCGGCTAAAATCTGAGTTTTGTCACAGTTGGCTATCCCTACAGACCTCAAGAAAATCCATAAGTTAACTGGATGCGTGGCTGCCTTAAGCCGCTTTATCTCCCGATTAGGAGAAAAGGCACTACCTCTTTATCGCCTTCTTCGACGCACCGAAAACTACGAGTGGACGGATGCGGCCACGGCCGGATTGGAAGAAATAAAAGCCGTATTGGCCACCAACCCAATCTTGGCCGCACCAAATGTCGGCGAACCAGTGTTGTTATATATAGCGGCAACACACCAAGTTGTAAGCGCAATACTCGTCGTCGAACGAGAGACGGAGGGACATAAGTTCCCACTTCAAAAGCCGGTATACTACATATCCACTGTCCTCACTCCATGCAAATCACGGTACCCACATTATCAAAAGATAGCATACGCGGTCTTCATGGCATCCAGGAAACTACGACACTACTTCAAGAGTGTTCAATTACGGTGGCCTCCGAAGTACCACTCAACGATATAATAAATAACCGTGATGCCACGGGCCGGATTGCTAAATGGGCTATCGAGCTCCTCATGTTCGGCATAATATACAACCCACGGCGAGCCATCAAGTCGCAAGTACTGGCTGATTTCGTCGCCGAATGGACGGAAGCCGAACTCCCTAAAGAGTACGACGCGTACTCCAATTGGATCATGCACTTCGACGGCTCTAAGATGCTGGCTGGTCTAGGGGTAGGCATCGTCCTGACATCCCCCACCGGAGATACAGTCCAATGCGTACTCCAAATATTATACACAGACTCCAACAATGCAGCAGAATATGAGGCCCTATTGCATGGTCTCCGGATGGCAGTCTCCATGGGCATTCAACGCCTAGAGGTGCGTGGGGATTCGAACCTCACAATATCTCAAATAAATGGAGACTTTGACGCCAAGGACCCAAAAATGGCGGTTTACCGCAACGCCGTCCTCAAAATGTCAGCTCGGTTCGAGGGGCTTGAATTCCACCATGTGGTCCGATAAAACAATCAAGCGGCGGATATCCTCGCCCGCATCGGCGCTAACCGCGACCCTGTCCCACCTAACATCTTCTTGGAAAGGCTGTTCAAGCCATCCGTGGCATGGGAAGGAGAGCCCGACAACAACAGTCTGGACCCGACCACAATGCCAGATACCGAACACTCTGACGTAATCGGAGGCTCTGCCACCAAAATAACACCTTCGGCCCACGTGATTATGGCTGTCATCGCCCCGTGGACAGTACCCTTCTTGGCTTACCTAACTAGGCAAGAACTCCCCGATGACCCAAACGAGGCATGTTGCATTGTGCGGCGGTCTAAAGCCTACAAGGTCTGATAACCCACAAGTATAGGGGATCGCAACAGTTTTCGAGGGTAGAGTATTCAACCCAAATTTATAGATTCGACACAAGGGGAGCCAAAGAATATGCTCAAGTATTAGCAGTTGAGTTGTCAATTCAACCACACCTGGAAACTTAATATCTGCAGCAAAGTGTTTAGTAGCAAAATAATGTGATAGTAGTGGTAACAGTAGCAAAAGGTAACAGTAGTAAAAGTAATGTTTTTGGTATTTTGTAGTGATGGTAGCAATAGCAACGGAAAAGTAAATAAGCGGAGAACAATATATGGAAAGCTCGTAGGCAATGGATCAGTGATGGAGAATTATG